AATTTTTTTGGCCTTATTATTCCAAGGAAAATGAGGCAAGAGCGAACGAGCCCTGCTGCTAATAGAGCAGAACAACCTATTAATCCAGAGCAAAATTAAGCAGCACAAAGGTTAAGGAAACCAGAGTCTTGCTGGTTTTTAACCTCATCACCGAGGCCTGAGCCCAAAGAGGTTTTTTTTTTTTCCACGCTCCCCACTCTCTTGGTCAGCAACACCTGGCAAGGTCGAGGTAGCGTGGAGCCAGACAGGGTTTTCCTGCAGTCCAAAAAAAAAAAAAAAAAAAGAACCAGTCACAAAACTCCATCTGTAGAAACTCTTCCAAAGTCTCCGTGGGAAATGCTGTCTGAAGAGGTTTTTTTTTTTTCCAAGCTCCCCACTCTCTTGGTCAGCAACACCTGGCAAGGTCGAGGTAGCGTGGAGCCAGACAGGGTTTTCCTGCAGTCCAAACCAAGAGGAGATGAAAGAAATTCACAGCAAACTATTGCACAGGGCTGGTCTTCCATTCCACAGTTTCCCATTTATTTTTTTTTTTTCCACGATCTCAAAAAAGGGTTAATTTAAGATTATTTTTTTTTTAATTAATCCTGGTTAAAACATGTTGCTCTGAGTCCCAGGCTGGTACTGTGTCTGCAACAGGCTCTCCATAAAGGCCAAGTAATCTGGGTTCTGTCCATATTCTTCAGGATTTCTGGAATTCCCCAGCCGGGGACGCTTGGCCGGTCTCACTTCGTCTCCCGAAAATACATCTTCCTGAGGGGCCCCAGTGCTGAGGGACTGCAGGGGACACGAAACACAACCATTAGAGGCACAGCAGGAAAACAGGGAGGGAATCATGGAGCACACCTGTGGAACAGGACAGCAGGGAACCACCTGGTCCAGGGCATTCCTGGAGAACATGAACTTCAAAGCATGCAAAGCACCCGGCTGGGATTCGAAATTCTCGGCTTCTGGAACCAAACTGGAAGGAGAAACCCTCAAGCTGCCTTTTTTTTCTGCTTCAGAATCTCTTTTCACTTCCTTGTTCCTCCTCTGCCTCTTCTCCCAGTAGCAGACACAAAAGAAATTGGGGCTTCCCTAATTGCCTTTAAAAAAAAAGACCCACAGGAAGCATTTGGGGATCACTGCACAAACAATTCCTTCTGCTCTTCCTGCTCTCTCACTCCACTGAGGTGCATTTCATTTGCTTCCACTCAAATGAGATCAGGTGGGACCAGGTGGCACCACTGTGGTCCCTTCCAACCTTTTCCTTTCTGGGATTCTGGGATTCCTTGGTAGAAATTATCTCCCACAGCTTTGTCCCTTTGTCCTCCTGCTCTACAGCATCCCTTCCACAGAGAACAAACAGGCTGAAGCTCTGGCAGCAGAAATACAGGAGAAAAGCTTTAGCTTTCAACCAGACTTGAAGCTTTCTATTCCCTTTATTCCCTTTCCAGCTTGCATTCCTTCCTCTGGAACTGTTATAAAGTCTCCACTGCACAGAATGTGCTTCTTTCCAAAATCCTGGATTTCAGGGCTCCAATATGTTGTCTTTATTATTAAACAAGCTTAAATAGATTGGAATATTGTGCATGTCTTAGAAATTACTGCTGTGGTGCTTCTTTGCCACCAGAAATCCTTCAAGGGTAACGAGGTAAATTATTATTAACCTCTAAAATTTAGCCCATGAGGTCTCACAGAGACAAACAACCTCAAACGAGAGGGAGAAGCCATTGGGGCTGTATCACAGAAAGCATTTTACACGTGGGACTTTTAGGCTAAAACCCCTGAAGATTTCATGGAAAAGGGAACAAAAATTTCCTCTAACTTGTGCTCGGTCCCTTCCCAGAACTGCCTGTCCCTGGGCTGTTTCTGACTGGTTTAACTGGGCATGTTATTCTTAAGGGGAGGTTGAATCATCCTCATTTTGTCTCTTAAAAGAGACAAAAAGGAGCCCAGAACCTTGTCACAGGTTGGCTCTGGACCTGTCCCTGTCCTGCAGTGCCTGCCAGGCACGAAGGAGAAAACTGTATATCCTCCAGTCTCATCATCTGTTTTAATGAAATGGCTTTAAAGGTTAAAGCACCAGGTTTGAAAACACCCAGCAAGTCTGGAACCAAAAAAAGCTATGAAATAAATCCCTCATCTCTTCTAGGCCCAGTAATTCCACTGTATGCACTTAAAGACAGCCTGATCTTGTAGATTAAGAGATTTATAGGTAAGAGTTACGTTCTAAATCTCCCATTCGGTGAGAAAAGGGGGTTTGGTCCCAGGTTGATAATCAGTTCTCCAGAAAGCACTGAGCTGTAGCCAAATCCACCTCTCATTTGGACAAAATGACTCCAATATAACTAAACTCATCTGGTGTAAAATGATCTGAACATAATCTTTTAACCAGAGGAAATAAAAATCCGATCCCAACACGTGCAAGGGAAAATCGTTTCTGTGCTTCTCAAGCATTCCCAGCAAGGATTCCTTCTACTTTATGCATTTGGGGGAATGACAAGTGGTTTTACAGCCACAGAAACTGGAGGCTGCATTCACTTAATGTCTAAAAAGCACCAGGAGATGATGTGAAGGGAGTTCTGCAAGTACAGCTGGTTTAGTGTTGCTATTTTGGTACCCACCAGGCGAGACTTCACTCTCTTGGGAAGCTCTTCCTCCAAGGTATAAATATCTCCACGCTTCACCATTAGCTGAGAACCATCTTCAAACTCGACCTGCAGAGAGGCAGAAGATGAAATCACAACTAGCCCTGGAATGGTCCATTCCCAGCCTGTCCCTCCAGGGAACACCAAGGAAGCATCAGGGGCCAGATCGATGGATGATCTCGTTCTTAGCACTGCAGGATTGCTCTGGAATGAGCATTCCTAAGCTCTGCCAAGGATGCTGAACCCAGAAAGTGCTGTTTTCAGTGCTGTCCAGGCACCTCTGTCTAATCCAGCCCAAGGGCTCCCATGGATCCCAAAATATCTGCACCCCCAGCTGGCCCAGCACCTCTGTTCCCCCCTCCCATTACATATTCCTCCTGATTTTTTATTCAAATCCTCAAAAAAAAAACCCAGCAGCTTTTCACTCCTAATAAAAGCAGCCCTGTATTCAGGCCAATATGGTAATAAGAACTTCTTTCATCTTAAACAAAGCATTTTCACAGGTCACAAGGAAACAATTCCAGCTACTAAAGCACATTTGTATTTCAACCAGCAGAAACAGTCAGCCAGGTACAAAAAACTCCTCCCCATCAACCCTTTTTGCTAAGCACTGATTATATCATGAATTATGCATCAGATGTTCCAGGCACGTTTATTCATGGGAACGTGCACGGCAAAATGTTAAAACTATTAAAAGTTTTTAAAGAGATTCTTATTTCCTTTGCTCGAGGCTTTAATACAGTTTTCTGGATAAAGCAGAAGGACACAGATCAGAGTTTAACAGGGATGTCAGGTTCAGCCTGGACAAATTCAGAGGGAATAAAGCATCTGTGCTCCCAAATCCTCCTCCTGCTCTGTCCAGCTCCAGCAGCTCATTCCTTACCCAGGTCCAGCATTCCCATCATGGAGCAGCACCCAGGAGCTGGGATAATTGTGCAGGAGGAAGCTCAGGCCTTGGAAGGTGACCCCTTCTGGGGAGGGTTTAAGATGCTACTTTATTTATTCCCATTTATTTCCACTTATTTTTCCCTATATTATATCCCACTTAGTCCCTGGTTTTGCAGAGCCCCACTATGGAACAGAGTCAGAAGGGAACAGGAATTACAAGGTGTAAGAGCCAAGGCACCAGCAGATCCCTGACTGCCTCTTCCATGTCATGAGCTCAACTTGTAGGAGAAAGGCAGGATTTGGAACTGAGGGCAGGGTCATTTTACCTGTCAGAGTGGTTGGACCCTGATTATTTAAGTTCCAAATCACTGCTGTGGGTTAGACCCTTGGTGGAGCAACCCATGGGTTGGACCCACAGGTTCCAAGTTCCAGGACAGTCATTTGGGCTCAATTTTTAAAAAATATACACATCTAATCTTAGCAGGCTGGAGATGGGAACTGGGAAGCTACTGCAAAATAAGCCAAGTTTAAAATGCAAAGCTAATCCCTGCTGTCTTCCCAGGAACACACTTCTTTCACAGCAAAACTGGTTTTGTGGTTTTAAATGGAATCCTGCTGCACAGTGTGTGCAGAGGGAAGCAGTGTGGAAAACCATCCCAGCTGTTCTCCCCATGGAGAAGAGCTCTGCTCACAGGTAACTGCAGGATTGGAAAACCACAGGCTCCTCATGCATATTTTCCTGTCACCTGGCACTATCCATGGAACAGCCCCTTCCAAAGGAGAAATCCAGGAGAATTTCCTTTGCTGTGATTCAGCTGGAAAGCATGGAAAACCACACAGCTTTATGGAGCTCTGTATTGTCCTTATTCATAACCAGGGGCACCTCAGATCACATCCCTGAGGGAGTTACAGCCACTGAGAGCCCCCCAGGGGCTGTTGGGCTCTTCCAGACACAAAACACTCTGTGCAAAGTCTTGCCCAGGGAATTTGTGGCTGTCCCTGGATCCCTGGAAGTGTCTAAGACCAGGTTGGATGGGGCTCAGAGCAACCTGGGCTGGTGGAAGGTGTCCCTGCCCATGGCAGGGGGTGGGACTGGATGGGCTTTAAGGTCCCTTCCAACTCAAACCATTCTGGAATTCTGTGAAAGGACAGAAACCAGAATCCTGTTTCAAACACATTCAAGCTACAGGACTTCCACTGTCTTTTGTCCAGAGGCATTAATCTCTTCAAAATCACAATTATTTGCTAATTCCAGCATGTGTTCTTCAAAGTATATTTTTCCAGCATGTATTTTGCAAAGTATACTTTTCAAAGTATAGTTTTCAACTTTTGGTACCATTTAAGAATTATTTGATCAAATGAATGCCCTGCATTTTTTAAAGCCTTCTGTGCTGAAACACTGACCCAATGTACAAGGTTAAAGCTTCCTTTACTGACCATTACAACTCCCCTAAACAAAATTCTGCCTGTGGAACAAACTCAAAGACCAAAAAATCCCTCACTGCTGTTTTACTCACCTTAAAACCAGAGAAGGTGGGAGTGAAGGTTTCCAACTCCTCACACAACAGCAGCAGGAATTTCCAAATGCTGCTGCTGCTGCTCCACAAAGCACCTTCCCATAAGCAGAGGATTATTCCTCATTCTCCTGACCCTTTATATCCCTCCCTCTCCCCTCAAAGTGCTGGTACTGCTTTGATGGTTGGACTTGATGATCTTAAAAGTCTTTTTCAACATTAATGATCCTAAGGTGTTGAGGAAAATTATTCTAATTATGTAGACACTGATTCATGTGGAACTACACATGAGGAGCTCAGCTCCAGCCATCAGAGCACTTCAAGTAGGGCACTTTTGGCCTGATCTATAAGGAAAAAGGCAAATTTGGTTTACATTTTAAAAGCAGGTCCAGTCTAGACGTGTGTCTGTCCCTACATCCACATTCTGCCACAGAAAACCTTCACCCTGACCCTGTTCAACACCCTGTTTCTCTTTACCCTCCCAGCAGGATTAATTTCAGGAGGAAATTCTCCTTCCTGACCGAGTGTTCAACACCAGGGAGCTGCACAGTGCCAGGACCCATCAGACACGTGGCCATGGGGGTCCTCTGCCACACTCACCTGGTAAATCTGACTGATCTGGGCTGCAATAAACTTGGCTTTATAGATGATCCCATCCGTCCACTGCAGCTGAACCAGCTCCCCCTCCAGGGGGGGTCCCATTTGGATGCAGTCCCTGCTCTGAAGACAGAGGGAAACAGGTCAGAGAGACATCAAAGCTCAGGAACCAGAGAGGTGTTTAAATCACTGCTCGAGGAAGCTGCTACACAGCACTGTAATTAGGTGGAAGATGTTTCTGCCCTTGGGATTAATTGTGGGCATCTCAAACAAAACCAGCGTGAGAGACCGGGAATGACAGCACCCAGTTCTGGGACATTTCTCATTACAAATCCCAAAACACCAGATCTGCTGTATCTCAAAACCAAGCAGGGCAGCTCAGTGAATCAGTGGCACAATCAGGAAGGGAATGCATGAGTTGACAAATAAGCCTCTTCTAGACATTCCCTCTATTAAGTGAACTCCCTATTCCGAAGCAGAAGCAGCTCACAGACAATCTGCTTCCCCCATGAATCACACTTGTCAGTTGAAAAATAAGATTATTCAACCACAAAATAAAGAGGACGAAACTTAAAACAAACACTACTTTCTGTGAAGTCATCTGCATTCAGCAAAATCACATCTTTGTCAAGGAACCAAAAAAAATAAATGAGATAATGTCAGAAACAAGAACTGCAGGGAAGAGCGGGATGAGATTTTCTAAGCGAGCAGCGACTTTTTTAATTTTAATTATTTTTTTTTTTTTTAAATTTACTTTGCTGTTCCAGCCCAAAGCACACGAGAGGAAGGCACAAATCACACTTGGCACTCATCTATAAAGTCCCAGCCTCCACAGAGCTGCTTACAATGATGCTTTCGGGGTAAACGTTGTCGCTGTAGGAACCGTCGTCAAAGTTGACCTCGTAGAAGGTCTGCGTGGTTGTGCCGATCACTCTGCACCGGTAGTAGAGCCCATTCCGGTTCTTTGTGATCACAGTCTGCCCCAGGGCCACCTCCCTTCGGAATGGGGTCTGTGGGAGAGGGAAAAGGGAAACATCTGCAACCTGCAAA